TCTCCTCTCACCTTGGTCACCGGGTTTTGCGGAGGAAGCTGCAAGCTGCCTGGCTGGTGTGACCCCTGGGCTCCACTGTAAAGGGTAGGCATGACCTGCAAGCAGGTCCTGTAGGCTGGGTAAGATCCACCTGGAGATTCCTAAATGCAGAATGGGATCCGTGATCAACCAGAAGTTGAAAGAGAATAGGTTTAATAATTCAGTTTTACTCGCTACAGTAACGAGCACTCAGCAGGTATGGAAACAGCTGAGTCCCGCTCAGTTGCTAACAGGAGTGTGTAATTCTCAGCAGCTCGGGCACGCAGCAATTCTTGAGCAAAACGTAGGATTTGGGGGACGGTTTACTTTACAGGATTCCTTAGAAACACGGAAGCGTGCTTCCCATTGGTCACAGAAACCTCGGGCTACATAATGGCCTGGGCGAGAAAAAACCCTCCAACAGACCCACTGGGAAACAACATGAGGGTGTGCTGCTCCTCGGTGGGAGGATTTCAATCCCTCCGGAACTGCAGACTGTGGGATCTGAGAGGAGTATTTGTGCCAGGTACGACCGGAAGCGTGAGCACGAACCCTGGAGGGTAGCTGTGTGGGGACGCCCCGCGGAAGGTGACCAAGCAGTGCCATTCGTCCCGCGCTCTCCAGCCCCTTATTTCTCCGGTACCGACGGCAGCGGCCGCCACCGACCAAGCGAGCGGGTGTCCCGACTCCCAGAGCCCCCTTCAAGCTGATGGAACAGCCAATGGAGATGCGACGTAAATAAAACCGTTTCTCACCTCTGAGGCTTCATTTTCAAACTCATCGACTCTCGCCTGGGCAGAGCTACAGGCCTGAGCATAATGCTGATACCACTGCTGGAGAGCCTCCTACGAAGGAGGGAAAAACCTCTTCCCGTCAGCTGCCCGCTGCCATGGCAGTGCATGCGAACCGCCCTTACGGTCTCGCAGGACACGAGAGCGAGTTCAAGGCAAAACTCTCCGAGAGGCACGAAAACGCGTTGATCGCCAGGGCTAAAAGCTCAAGGCAAACATCCACGTTTAAACGATAGGCAAGGCACCCCTGCCTTGGCGGTGGGTGCAGGTACAACGTAACTGCACCGCACGGAAGGAACAGACAGGACAAGTACAGCTGAGGGATGGCACAGCGGTCGAGTCCTTCGTGGTACTAATGATGGTAGGAGTAACACTAAGACCACAACACTACTGATCATTTTTTACAGTATTTTAAGGGTTTGGGGTTAGGAACTACCTCCAGGAGACATCACAATGGACCCAGGAATCAGATTCCCACAAAACATTGAAGACTACGTTACACGAAACACACAGCACAAGGGCCAAAGGACATCTTGCTTCTCTAATCCAGCTCCAGTCGGACAGGAGGTGGGTCTGGCCCCTGGCAGAGCTCCCTGCCGCGGCCAAGGCCGTGCAGCATCCCCATCCTCTCCACTCCTGCTCGCCAGGCTGAGACCTTCTGAATACAAAACCTTGTGTCCACCCCTGCGCCCGCTCTCTGTGCTCCAGACCCAGCCCACTCCTGCAGCAGCCCTGCTCTGTTTTGGGGCGGCACAGATTTCCCTGCCAACAGCTCAGGGGAAGGGAAGACGGCTTGTTTGTCTCCCTGCTGAGGATGACACACCAGGAGACTCTGGGGAGGTGACGGGGACAGGGCAGGGGAGGGAGAGCGCGAGGGCAGAGCCAGGTTGGGCAGCACAACAGCCCAGTTCTCGTATTTGATTTGTATACCATCGTAAGAAACCATGGAAATACTATTTCACAGGATGTCCCCAAGTCTGTGAAACCCAGAACGTACTCTCAGTGCCACAACAAAACACTCTCTTGACGAAGGACAGCCCTCCACCTTAACAGCCACGCTCTGCTCACCACCTGGGGCACAGAAATCCCACCCAGTGAAACCAGCTGGTGGCTGCAAGACTCCCCCCAAGCTCTACAGGAACTTCTGGTAGACAGAACACCCTCTTCTCTGGGATCCAGCCAAGGCTCGAGAAAACCTTAAAACTTCTTGGGAGGGGAAAGACAAAAAATTCATGGTTTTTTGGTTCAGACAAAAGCCAAGCCCAAAGTTGTAAGAAGCAATTTTTTAGCCGACCACACTGAATTCAGGTTCTCAAGGCAACGTTTCAGTGGTTGTGACACTGCAGCGGGGAATGCACTGAGGCTTTTTTTGGCTGCCATTAGTTGTGCTTTTTGCTAAATTTATTCTGCACCGCTGAGATAAACTACCAGTGAAGAGACCTACGAGGTTCAGTCGGAAGAGAAGGGTGAGCTTGGGCTGTAGGAAAGCCTGGAGGGGTTCACAACGTTGGAAATGCTGTTTAAGTGCACGCAGGGCTGTCACACCGCACGCGGCCCAAGAAGTACACCAAGGGTACAGACAGCAAAACAAAGAGCAGCTCAGGGAGGGATCTCCGAGCAGATCCCGGTGAAAAATCCTGCTGCCAGAGCTCTGAGTGACCAGGCTTCAGAAGAAAGCGCTGCAAAACATACCTGGGTGTACTCCCCGTGCTGTGGAGAGTAATTAAAGTAATTTTCCATGGCGTGTTGTGACGTAGTTCCCTGAGACACAGCGGCATCCACGATGCTGTTCGCAAGTCCTGTCTGCTGCGGCGGGCTGGAGGCTTTGCTGGCAATTGCTGTTCGTAAGACAAGGAATACACAGATTGCACAGACTGCACAAATTGGGTTGCACTCCTGTTTAGCAACATTCTGGGATTACCACGGAAATTTGCTACTTCAGATTAGGCTGTGCTCAAAATTCATCAGGGCTACTAATAACCAAAGGGCTTTCTAGAAGTTTGTGTACATCAGTAAGGCCATGAACTCTGAAAATTTACCTTTTCCAAATAAAACATTAAGGAACAACATAAACATCGAGGATACAACATACACACTGCAATTTTAAGACAGACTACAATATTTCATTGAAGATAAATGCTGTGGGCGCAGGAACTACCTGCCAAAAAGAACAATTTGTCATATTCTGGTCAAGGAATTTTGCAACTAAAACGGCCACACGTTCGCTTACCTGGAAGACACAGGCCAGGCAACACGCTTGCCAGATTCAGGTAGGGGTTGGTACTGAGACGTATTTCTTTTGGGGGCTCTCCTAGCAGCGAAGTCTGTTTTTTCAAGGGAGTCTGTGAAACGATTGGACAGGTCAGTGTCATTACATTCATAAGAAATAAGGTAAGTGTCCCAGCAAGATTTTGGAAAATGCTTAACCCTGGGAGATGTAATGGGAAAACTTTAAAAATAAAGACTGGGGTCACCCAACCAGACAAACTGCCTGTTTTCTTGCCTAATAATTTAGTAGGAATGTTTCTTTTTAGACTGTAAATTCCTAAAGGATGTTAATAAACAACCAAACAAAAGAGGAAGAATAATCACCATCACAACCCCAGATGCAGGGAGTTAGCAGCAAGCACATGGCCAAGAAAAAAATCAACTCTTCACCCAGAGTCAGAAGCAAATAAAGGCCAAATAAACCCTGGACTGGAGAGGTGACACTGTCTGCCATCTGCCAGTGACCGCTCGACTTACGAGCCTGTGCTTAAAAGGGGAAAATGGATATGTGTGGAACTGGAGTGTCCTCCAAACCACCAGAAGTGTTTCCTGGAAGGACTACGGAGGGAATGCTCCCACCTTAGGCCCCCTTGGCTTGTGGTATAATCCAGAAACAAGGATGTAGTAGCTGTAACACGTTACACAGCCTGTCTGCAGCACATGGCTCAAAGGTGTTCATACAGGATTCTACTCCACGTCTACTGTGTTCAGTTTTTCAAAGCCCATTTAAGGGGGGAAAAAAAAATCATTATTTTAATGGATTAACACTATCTTCTGTATTAATCAACAACTTTCCAAAACCAGACCAGTTTTTAAAGACATCAACAGCGTGCTGAAATTCTTCATCTGGATGTAAAAGCAGGGATTTAAGACCGCATGGCTGTTCAGTATCAGCATACAGACCGTGGCCCTCTTGTCAAGGGAGTGATTTTTGCAAACTGGGCCTTCTGTGAAGGAAACAATTAAACCATCTACCGGGATTTCAAAAAAAGAACTGTTCCTGATAAACAATATTCACAGAAGTAAATGAATTACCTAGCCTTTTAATGGTTTAATTAAATTTCCTTTTAACTACAAAAAATGCTGAAATAAACCACTGATTTTACATATGTATACCCATACACCCTGTGTATTTTATCCATGTACATAGGTAAAAATTCCACTTCCTTACAGTAAAAAATTACTTTAAACATGGAAAGTGTACTTTCTGAAGCAGGACCAAATCTATCAAATGTCTCTAACAAAGACAGACCAATACTATACGGAATCCAGTCACTTCAGATGCTTCAGAGAATATTTACATATTAAAACCAGATCTGAATTAAGAACATGTTTCTCCATAAATGTTGAAGTATTCATGTTTATTATAAAAAAAAGTAAATTTTGTTAATGACAGGAAAAAAAGTTCTGAAAAAACAGACCATTCTGGTTTAACTTAAAAGTGATACAGACTACGACTATGGCAGCTACGGCTAAGGGGCACGGATTACAAGAGGAAAATTTACATACACATGTATATAGACAGGCACATCACTTGGAAACCCAAAGACCCTACATACCACTGGAATTGCTCTCGATTAGTGACAAAATTCAACCACAAGTTCAATTTTCAGTCTTGAAAAGGGACATTGCCCTTGAGATAATTTCATCATCAAATACTATGAGGCATACATGGGAAAAAACCCTCCAGCACTGCAAAAGATTCCTTTGTTAATTCATCTGGACCACCAAAGAGCATTATTGTTCTCTCCCTGTTATTCATAATTGAAGTGACTTTAAAATGTCTCATGAATGATCCTGTGATCTGGCAAATTTTATAGTGGAGAACTACAGTGAGCAGTTGCACTTTAACTCATGAGCACGTTAAAGTAAAAAAAGAGAAAATCCACACAAGAAAAAAGGAAAATACTTGTATTCCACGTTCCTTACCCCCAAACTTGTATCAGTGCCTTTTAGTTGATTTTGTTGTTTGGCATGCCCAGCCCGCAAAGCTCCCGCAGAGAGATTTGTTAAGGTCTGATGATAAGGCTGTGATCCCGAGACAACCGCTTCGGTAGTCGATTGTTTATCTGGAGCGTTATTTTGCCCTGGTATAGCTTGTCCAACAATGTGCTGATTCGGAAAGAATGGCAGCATGCCCATCCCTGCTGCTGTTTGAATTGGAGTCAGATTAGATGCTGCAGTCAACCATAAATGGAGAAACTTTTCGGTTAGACAAGATTTATCAGTACATTTTGTTTGTGGTTTTTACTAAGTGATGAGAAAAACATTTAGAGATTTATTTTACAGCTGTCCCAGAGCACTGGATTCTGATGATGGTTTTTATTCTTTTAACATCCCAGGAGCAACCAACTCTATTTAAAGCTAAGTACAATAGAAGAAAACTGACTTTTCTAAACACTGACGATAAGAACTCACTTAGTGTTTCCTATCGCTTTCAAAAAACCTGTGAACAACATCCCAGAGGATCCTATATTGGAATAGAGAGGAAAAAACCCCACCTCAGCTGGCATTAGTAAAGTTATTTTATAAACAGAAGCCTAGAAAGTATTGTCCACAGTTAAAATATAGGCACTGAGAATAGGTTTCTTCCCCACTCCCTTATGTCTCCCCCCTCAAGCTTTTCCTTGCTCCTGGTTACTGCAATTACTCAGACTAGAACTAGAATACAGGGCTCTCAGGGGGGGGAACAAGACGCACTCGAGGGCACCACTGGCGCAGAGCTCTGCATTCTAAACTCACATCCGTCACAGACTGGACGTTAAAGCTCTATTGCCTGATGAAAAGAATGCAAAAAACCTAATTCCAGTGCCTCTTTGGCCACTGGGATTTACCTGCTTTGAAACGACAAACCCCAACATTTTGGTCCTAAATCAAAACATATTCCAAGTCTACTAAAAATGGTAGTAACTGAGCAAGCGGAATATTTAACGACCTGCAGATACTGAACCCACGCCACAGCGTGCTCTTTCTTCCCTGGCCAACGGATGAGAGAAGTAAGGCAACAAGGCAAGGTATTACACCAGCCAGTTATGGTTGGTTAGGTGGAGATATAACCTGTCACCCTGCTTAACCAATGGCTATATAACGTGATTATTGTCCAGCTCTCTGCCTCCCTTACCAGGCAGGGACAAGGTTCAACCATATTACTGCTTTTGCTACAGTGGGAGAAAGTGCAGTGTGTAATTTCTATCGATTTGGTATGAAATAAAATATCATTTACACTTCAAAGCTTCTCCACGGGTTCCCAGGCCCGAACTCACTGCCGGCATCACCCCTATTCCCAGTACTGTCTGCAGCAGCATCGTTGGAGGCTCTCCCAGCAAACCCGGTTTCTAAAAGGAAGAAGAGAAAACGGTGCAAACGATAATCTGTCTGTAGCTATTTCTCCTAACTTTCAGATCCAGTTATTCTTTTTAGATACACTAAACCGTTAAATCACACTGGATGAAAACCGGTGTTTGTTTTAGCAGTTACAAGATTGCCCAGAGGCAGCTGAAGCGATGACCTTACGCTATTAGCCTGAACGTTTTCCATCTTCAGCAGCGGCTGCTGCGGCATCGGTAGGTGAGCAGGGCTCTGCAGCAGTAAGTTAGACGTACTCCCCAGGATTGAACTCTGTGAAATCAATAAAAGAAGTGTTCGTTGACAGTCGTAGTGAACAGCACATTCTTGAAACATTTTCAGATGAAACTGCTTAAAGAAACTAGTGTCTGAGGTAATACAGCAAAGGAAAGTAGCTATTTCCTCTACAGAACTAAATTTTTGCTCCATTTATAGGAAGTTATTTCAAGTTCTTTTAGCCTCTCTTCCTCCTCGCCCTTTTTTTCACCTCACAACCACAAGTACGCTTCCCGATGGCTTCCGAAGGATGAAGAGCATACGGCAAACACAACCCAGCCTCCAGCCCCCGTGTCCCAGCCAACAGGGAGAGGTAAAGGTGTTGGAAGCCTCTGCAGACAGACAGAGGGGAGCTACCTACAGTGCCAAGGAGAAAGATGAGACACAAGGACTTCAGGGGATTATGAGCTCTGCGAATGCCGACTTCACTGTCTGCCTGCATTGTGCCCGCCATTGCAACTCCACTACATGATCTCTGCCAAGCATCGATACACTTGGCCGGACTCAGCTGTAACCGGCAGGGACTCTCAGCCCTTCATCAGTCACCAAACAGTATCTTCACTTTCAAAGAGGAGTATCCAGGAACGTTCCTCCTCTCTTTTTAGTGGTAACTCTCTGCATGACATTTTATTGCAGGACCATTAAAAAGCTGACAACCTGTGATTTGCAAAGTCTGTAAAAACAGTCACATTTTTCATTTGAAAATTCTGGATCAGTTTGTCACCAGAATCGAGTCACTTAACCAACAGCTTTGGGGCACCACGTTCAGACTCTGCTACCGGTATACGCACCAGCACGTGCTCTGGCTAGCACGGTGTCTTCGGAGCTAAGCTTCTTGGCTTGAGCAAGGTGAAACAATCAAGTCTCTACAGGAAGGGTGCACTAGCAACTCCAGGAGAAATGGATGTGCCAAGTCCTAAAGAGGACTTTTTTGGCCAACAATGGCAAGCTGTCTCTACATTGATAGGTGTTAGCAAACCAAAAGTTCACTTAAGAGAAAATAACTCACTTGTGGATAGTAAGCACAGTCTGCTCATACGTCCTCATAGGCATCTCTTAATAGAGTGCTTTTCTTAACCACAGCTTTAACGAGAACTTTTGATTTTAGCTGTAGTTTCTTAAAACTCTGCGAATATTTTTCACGCTAAGATGTCCACAAATAGCTGTTTCGACAAAAGTTATTTTGTCACATACCTGATGAACTTTATTCAACTGCAAAAACGGTGGGCCAACTGCTGAATTTATAAGGTGAGGTAAACCTGCAGAGGCTCCAAGAACTGTTTTAGAAACACAAGAAGAAGTTGCAGTGGTTTATAAGTTAGGCAAGCAAAGACCTTTCAAAGAGTTATTGTATATTTTCCAGGTTTGGCTTCCATGCAACTTCTGAATATACTAAAGGTTGCTATAATGAAACTTTTCAATACGCCCAGCTCTGACTGCAATTAGCAGTGTGTGAGAGATCAAACGTACTCCCAAGGAGCTCCTCTGAAGCTGAGGGTTTCGCTCAAAGACGCAGATACGCCTGCAGCTGATGGCAAGACTACAGCATTATCTAAAGTGCTCTGAAACTTCAGCGTTTCTTCACTGAAGTGGTCAATTCCCACACAATTTCTGTGTATCTTCTGTCAGGAGATCATGTCATGAACTCTCAGCTGTCCCTCACCTGACTCTTACATTATTTGTTCTCATTCCTCTTCCCAATGCTTTCACCATTTGAAATGTGCTAAGATTGTCTTTAATATGTTTATTCACATCCATCCTAATGAGAAGACAGAAATGTTTTTGGCTAGTACCTTATAAAATGCATTAAGACTGGGGTGAATAATGATTTACAACGGATTCTAGGTGAGAAAGACGCAAGCTGCAAAATTCACATCTAGAATCAGATTTAAACTTTCCATTTTAATGATGTCTGCAAAAGACACTTCATTTTAAATGCATTTCTAATATAAACATCCAAAGACTACAGAGTTAATATGAGGACATTTCTAGCTAACACTAAATTTTACCCAGAAACAAGAGTGCAGAAATCCATCTCCCGCCTTTGCTTTCATAAAGTGTGAAGGTGTCTACACAGACACACAAACAGTGTCTGCACAGATGTCTGAACAGTATCCCTGCTTCCCTCCTTCGCTGAAAGCCTTGCAGCGCCACGAACAGGGTTTCTTTTTTTACGCAGTTTTAGAACAACTTACCGGGTTTAACAGCGTGTCCCCGCAACTGGGGCTGCAGCAGCATTTGCAACATCGCTGGGTTGTTAAAACTTTTCATAATCTGCACTGGGTTTGGCTCTGGAAGCAAGCCTTTCCTATTGTTCCTCATCTCCAAATAAGAGAGACACAAAAATGTTAGAATTGGGAGAAAACAAAGAATACATCTAAATCCCACAAACGTGTGTGATGGTAATGTATGTTTTACACAGAAAATAACCCCAGCAGCTCCCTCCCTGTGTCCTGCTCCCTCCCATGCTCCAAATGAAACCCCTAACCAACTATTCCCCCAAAGCTTCAAGCATATTATTTTTCCTGAGACGCATTTCTTTCCCTTAAACCAAGATAATAAAGGAGAATGTGAAAGGCCGTGAGCACGTGTCGTGGTTTAATCCCAACTCAGTACCACCCA